AGGGAATGACACAGCCGTCAGCCCTCCCTTAAATCCTGGAGCTGCCTGGGAAGGGATCAAAGGCAGGGAGAAGAGACTCCTCTGTGGAACTCCGAAATAAAGAACTCTTGTGTACGTGAAAACAGGTGATCCTGAGGGAAATGCAGGGGAGTATGTGAGGGTGGGGAGACGAACTGGCTGTTAATTAAGCTCCCGTTAACGAGATGGGTGGCAGCAGGCAGTCTCCTCACGCAGTCCTCATGCGTGTGGGGGTGCTAAACTCTTCAGACACTGACTGGGAAGCTAGCGCTGCCTGTGACCTGGCCAGCATCTCCCGAAATAGTCTCCTCGCAGTGAGTAACTTCCTTTGCGCTGTTCCTCGCTCTCCCTGGCACGTAAATCCTGTCCCCCAGTTCCTCCTGCCTTCCTGTTTGGAGAGAGGAGGGTTGCTGGGAGAGGCCTTCCGAGGGTCCTTGAGCCGCTGGGTTTCAGCTGGGAAAGTCCGCTGGGTGTGAGGCACGCCGGCAGGGCTACATCCTCTGGCCCCATTCCTGTCACTGAACTCCCAGCCTTCACCTGTGAAGAGGAGCAGGCTGCTGGTCCTCGGGCGTTTGCTGCTCTTCGCTTCCTTTTCACACAAGCCTGAGCTGTAGACGAGGCCTCTCCTCGCAAATGTCATCCCAGGGGGGAGAGGGAGCCGGCAGTTATCGCTGCTGCCGGGAGTGCACTTTCCCACATGGCCTCATCTAGGGGCAGGGAACCTTTTGGATCTAAGTTTCATCATCTTCCTTCCGTGCTCCTCAAGGTAGTGGTCTTGTTCGTGGTGGATGTAGGCTCTGCAGGCGTCCTTGTGCAGAGCAGCTGGGGTGGATTCCTCCAGGCAAGGCCGCCTGGAGCTCCCAGCTGTGTGGGTGCTGGGATTGCTGTGCAGCAAAACTGCGTGGCAGCTAGTGCAGAAGCACGGAGAGGACTCCTGGGGAAGGGGAAGGCCTGGAGTGTGACTGGAGACTCGAATCCACGTGCAGGCAACTTGTCTCTCTTCCTCTTAGCTCCATGCAAGCAGGTGGAGTAACTTCAGCCCCACGGTGCTCTGTCCTGATAACTCAGAGGAACAGGGAGGGAGGTGGCTGCTGCTTTGGATGCTCTGCTAGGACCTCGTTCTGCTCCACGCGTGAGGCAGTGCAAAGCTGGTAGGATGCTGCTCTTGCCTGCTGCCGACTCTGCAGCACCCTCTGCTGTTGCCTAGTCTGTCCCAAAGCTGCTCTCGTTTCCCCCTTGTCCATCTCGACGGGAAGCTCTTCAGAGGAACCACACAAAGGAGTCTCCTGCAGTGAACCGCTCTCCTTCATATATCCAGTTGCCGAATATCAGCAAGTAGTTAACTTCTGTAGGCTGTGGACTTGACTATGCTATGGATAAAGCTAGTCAGTGGTTGTGCAGGGCTCTGTTTTGGTCTGTCTGGCTTCACTGAAGTACAGAACCACACAGGTGTGCCTAGGTGCTTCCACAGCCACCTCGGGGCTGGAACCAGTTGGTCTGCACTTCTGTGCTGCAGAGCCCAAGCTGGTTGCTAACTTCTTCCTGGCAAGTCGTAGGTGCATCTTCCCTGCAGGCCTGGGGTACTGAGGCACAGCACAGCGCTGCTGTTCACGTGGATATTATCCTGTGTGGCAAACATCAGCTGTAGTGAAAGGTTGTCTGGTAAACTGTACTGTATTCTGCTGCTTGTCACTGGGGTTTGTTTTGAGCAGGTACTGTAAAACTGGTGCCACTCCTGCACAGTGCTCCCCTCTACTTTCATGCTTGTCTGTTCAGTCTGAAGCCTTCCTTTCCTTAGTCTCTACCCAGAACGATCCTTTCCAGTTACTCTAGAATTAAAAAGCTTTGCTTCTTTATCTTTGTTGTTCTCCTTCCCTGATCAAAAAAAGTTCAAGAACTCAATGACCTCGTTATCTGACCTGTCCTGACAGTTATTTTGGGGAAGACACTCAGGTTTGAAGAGAATCCTCCTTCCTCCTTTTGTTGTCTGGATAGCCAGCCCTCAGCAGATGACAGGAGGGGGCACAGTTGTTTTCTTCTTTCCCTTGCATCAGACGTCCTTGTTTTGCCAGCACTGCATAAGCAGCTGCTTGAGCTGCAGTTACTTGCAGCAAAGGATGAAACTAAGGGAAAAGTTAAATTCTGTAGTTGCACTGTTGAAGATTTTAAAGGGAGTGGGAAAAAAAAAAAAAGGAAAGCTTTGAACTTTTAAATACTCTGTTGTGAGGTGTTCAGCTAGTGCCTGACTCTTACTGGATCCCTTCCTTGTTGTTTTCTACCTAAACACCTTGCTCAGATACAGGTGTAGATGCAGAGGGCATTTCAGCAGTCAGTTTCTTGGTATGTGTGGCCTGTTACACAGAATGTCTTCCCCAATCCACTGCTCTTGTCTGCATCACCAGCGTGCAAATTAATTCTGCACCTAACTGTCTGGCTTGAACTTGGCATGTGCTTTGGTTGCCATGTTGCTGACCCAAATTCAGACTGCATTTGTTCCTCGCTAGTTTGCAGGCTCTGCTGGATGGCACTGCCATCGACGGTGGTTTCTAGAACTCGTGAAAACTGCGGGCTGCTTTGGTTCAGCCTGTGAGCACACGTTAGGAACCTGCTTCTGTGTATACACTGCAGTTCTGTGTATGAACTGCCAGTCTGACTATTGCAGGTTGAAGACACCAGCCCCTAGACAAAGCTGTTAATGCACTTAATTTCCAGCTGACTGTGTGCTGTCCACCTGGAGGTGGGAAAGAGCCCTCAGCCAAAATGAGGATTTAGTCATGAGGCTTCAGCTGGGGTAGAAGAGAGGGGCCCGGCTATAACTGTAGCCATTAGTGGTGGTTGTTTGGCTCTGTACTAAAGCACTTTTAGAACTTGTGGGGTCAGATGTCCATGGTATATCGCGCAGTTTTGTAATAAGACTGTGGGTGAGGACCTGAATCTGCTGAAGCTAGCAGGAAGGCTGCACTTGCAGGCAGAGCTGGGATTTCTTCCTCTTTGGTGTCTCCCTTGTCACGGCCTTACTGACGTGCTCTTCTGCTCTTGTTTTTGCAGAACATTCAGAAGATGCTCGGTCTTGCTCCGTCCCGGGCTGCCACCAAGCAAGCAGGGGGCTTCCTCGGCCCACCACCTCAGGCAGGGAAGTTTTCCTAAAGCACAATTAGAGCCTTCACTGCAGGTCTGACAGCCGCACAAGTCTGCCCTGGGGAGGTAGAAGGATGGGATTCTGCACCAGGCTTCACGTGTCGAAAACCAGCCTATGCAGTATCTGCCACAGTCTCGGAAACACCTTGCCTTTGGAGTATTCTACCAGCAGCTGTTTGCTCATCAAACCAAGAAAGTTCTCAGAAGATGACTTGACTTTTTGTCTCTGGTGTTTCTGAGAAATAAACGGCATGGGCATGTTGATTTAGATGTCTGTTAATTGTGCTATAGGACAAGTAGAACTACCTTGGTGTAGCACAGTTGGCTTTAGCTTATGGCATGGAAAACAATTAAGATATCACAAACAAGATCTGCAGAACAGTTTAGAAAACTTGGGACAGTTGTGCTGAGAGGTGTCCCTTGTCTTAGAGGTACTGGCTGTACTCCTGTGCAGTGGAGAGCTGGGCAAGGAGCTGTGCTTGGTTTTGTGTAACACTTCCACTGTGCAGGGTGAGTCTTTTTTTTCTTTTATTGGCTCAGGTGGCTGAGGGCCCAGGAACTGCCCCTGTGCCAAGCTGCCCTTTGGGTTGCAAGTATTGCTGGATGTTTGCCCGTGCCTTCCTGGCAGAATGCAGTGCCACAGAGATTTGTAGCGTCGTACAGCTTCTGTTAAAGTTGCTTACTTCAGCAGAATCTGCTCAACTGCAGAAACAAGCCTGGCCCTCAGTTTAATGAGTAAACTGTTAAATTATATCAGTGCTGTCCACCGCTGCTGAACCCTTTTTATTGCCTGAGGGGTTAGGACAGCTGCATTTTTGTTCGTGCCCCTTAGTTTACTGATCATCAGTCCCTTTAGCAGTATGAATCTTAAAAATTCCTCCTTCCTTCATAGGCCAGTAGGTTCCCTGTGCTGTCTTACACTTTGCCAACTAATTACCTGGCTCAGTCCTGGTGGCCAGGCCTTGTTCAAAAGGGCTGAATAAATTTTGCTGCTGCTCTCAAGTTAGGCTGACACTTTCTTGGAGTATTTTGGTTCCTATAGGGGCTACTGATTCCTCACTTCTGTGACCAGAAGCGTATAATATGGAACATTTTCCTAGGAGGTTTTGATGAGGTGCAGGGCAAGGGGATAAATCTGATGTTAAATCCTACAAGTTGCAGCAGTTCTCCCTGAGAAGCACGGAGCGTGAGGATGCTGCATTTCTGACACAGTGTAGATTCAGCCTTCCCCAAGGAGCAGCCGTGGTCGTGTAAGTCCTCAGTTTCCTACGTGTGGCCTCTGTGTGATGGCCTGACCCTGCTGCAAAGCCAGAAACACCCAAACCTGCTGCACCAGCCTTGCTGCGTTAGTTTATCCTGCAGCATGTGGTCAGCAAATCCAGCGGGGTGAGCTGTGAGAGCCAAATCTGATGGGGTATAGCAACAAACCGTGCCTCGCTGGGCGAGGAGGTGCTGCATGCAGCACAGGGACCTTCCTTGTGCCATCCCAAACCCTGCCTCAGCACCGTGCTGCCTTTTGCCGAGCACATGTGGCATCGTGCCGTGTTTTATCATGCTGTGAAGGTGATGCTCGCACATCCAAAAATTATTTGAAAATTAGGGCTTTGGTGCTGTGTTGGCTCGCCTGCTGCAGCAGCTCTGTGGGGTTGCTGATCCTAACAAAGGGAGAACAACTCTCTAGGTCTGAGCTCTAAGAACCCACAAAATACAACGGGGAGACACCTACCTTTTGGGGGAAGAAAGAACGGTTTCGGTTCCACCCTTTTTTACACCCGTGGGCCCTCCAAGCCGCGGGGGGGCGCCCAGGGCCGGGGCTGGGCTTGCTGGGGGGGGCGTTCCGGGGCTCGGGGGGGCTCCCCCCAGCTCCTGGCCACCCCCAGAGTCCCGCAGCTGGCCCATGGTGGTGCCGCGGCCCCTGCTGCAGCCCCTGGTGCCCCGGCTCCGCCGCCTGCTGCCCGGCCTCGCCATGAGCAGCGCCACCGGCTCCTTCTCCCTGCAGCAGCCCCTCAATTACCGGGGGGGGGCCCGGCTGCAGCCCACCGATGGGGGGCAGGTGGAGGAGGTCTACGAGCCAGGCCACAGGTGGGGACACGCGTGGGGACACGGCTTTGCCTCGGGGGGGGCTGCCCCGACCCCCAGTATCCTCAGCCCTTGCAGCCTGGGACTGGCTGAGACCGTCCGCCAAAGTGCTGGGGTTTGGCTCAAATGATTTCCAAATTAATTGGTTTTTCCTCGCCTGGCTTTTGGCAGACCCCAGGCAAGGTGGCGAGGGGCTAACGGAGATGAGGAACGCGTGGCAGGGTGCTGGTGGTGGAAGCTCAAGGAGGGGGGAGCGAAGAAGTTTGTAATGCCAGGAGCTAATTAATAACTTAATATGCCTTCAGACCCCTCCAAACTGCAACGTCTCGCTGAGAAACCGGTCACAACCGAGTGGGTTTTGTTTGGAACCATTGCATCCGTAGCCTGGTGCGGGTGGTGTGGCTGAAATTTGTGCTGCAAGACGAATGGTGTGTTCTGTGCCCTTCCCCTGACTCAAACGTCTCGTTTGTTTCCTGCTTAAAATGTGCCCAGGCCGAGTGATAGCCAAGCTGCTGTGCTCCGGGGAGAAGGAGGTGGACCTGGCTGTGCAGAGCGCCAAGGCTGCCTTCAAAGTATGGAGCCAAAAATCGGGCATGGAGCGGTGCCGGGTGCTGCTGGAGGCCGCCAGAATCATTCGGGTATGTCGGGGGCTCGCTGCACGTTTTGTCTGCCAGCATTTTCGTGGGTTAAGGTGGCTGCTGGGGGCTGCGGTTCCAGCAGCGCTTCCCGAGCCCCAGGAGGAGCACAGGAGGCTAAAACCCCACCTTTGACCAGCAGAGACAGTTGGTTGCCTTGGGCAGGGCTCCCTGTCTTATCAGGCTTAGCTCAAGGCGGGTGTGTGCTGCAGCACCTTTTCTGCCTAATTCTGGCAGAAGACATAAAGCTGAAGCAATCCAGTCAGGACCCTGCAGGGCAGGTGATTTCCAAGCTGAAGTTGCGTAGCTGTCATGTCCTTAAACTTTAGGATTTCAGACCCTAATGTCACGTGGCGGGAGCATATTTTGTTTTAGCAATAAGACAATGGAGGAATGCTGTTTTCTTTCCCTTAGACAGCAGATAATACGCGTGGAGAGAGGATACAAATATCCTAGCTTTATCACAAACTTGTCTGTGAGATAACACATTCCTGGACATCAAAGTTAATGCCCATTGAGGCACAGGTCTGTAAGATATTGGACCTTGCCCCGGCGTGTACATGCGATGAGAATAGTGTTTTCTTTCTGCCAGATTTCTGCTCCTGCCAGACTCCTGCAGCAGGGTGATATTTCTGTTAGAGGACACCTCCCAGCTCTGCTGCTTTGTCCGTCTTTTGCTAAATCCTCTGGATCGGTTTTGGTCTTGCTGTTTGCTGTCCCTCCCAGCTTATTTCTGTGAATTCCAGTCATTGTTTACCAGCTGGCTTTTCAGCTCAGGTTTGCTCACCTTTCAGATAAACAGAGCTGTTAAGCAAGACCAGTCTGGCAGTGAACCCAGCAGCTTTCTGTTCAGCATTCTCCCAATGGCCTCTGGCCAATTGATAAATTACAGTTGGGAATCTTATCTTTTAGATAAAATGATTACTCAAGGCAGAGCCTGGCTTGGAGGTTGCACGCTTGGGATGCAGCTAGCTCCTTGTGGCTTCTCTGATGTGCTGTCATTGTGCTGTGCCCCTCACAGGAACAGCGAGATGAAATTGCCACCTTGGAAACCATCAACAATGGGAAATCCATCTTTGAAGCCAGAGTGGACATCGACATCTCCTGGCAGTGCCTGGAGTATTACGCAGGGCTGGCAGGATCTCTGGCTGGTGAGAGCTTTAGGGGAGTTGGCTCTTTATTCTCTGTCCTGCCTCTTGTCTTCTCTGGTACCTTCCATGACACAAGACCATCTTTGGTGTCGGTTCCTCTAAGAGAAGGACTGCTCCTTTTTCTGAAGATCTTGGGGGAATTTTCAGAGCTCTCTACCTAATGCTGCCATGCTCTGTGAGTTTGTTGGGGTAAAAGCTGTGTGTGTGTGTTCCCAGACTAAGTCAGATCTGGCCCCCGAGGCTCTGATTAAACAGCAAGGGGCTTTGTTCCTCTCTTACTTCTGTCTGTCTGTCTCTGCAGGTGAACACGTCCAGCTTCCCGGGGGATCCTTTGGGTACACTCGCAGAGAGCCCCTGGGTGTGTGTGTCGGGATCGGAGCCTGGAATTACCCTTTCCAGATTGCCTGCTGGAAGGCTGCCCCGGCCCTGGCTTGCGGTATGGAGACTGTGCCCGTGGAAGCTCCCCTCTGAAGCCGAGTGATCCTGTGGGGGAGTGAGATTTGGGGGACAGAGACACAGACAAGGATCGCCTCGAAGGAGGTGTTGAAGGGGTCGCAGAGCCTTCAGGCAGGAAGGGAAAGGAAATGGAAGGGGGAACCTGGCAGATGCAAAGAGGGCAGGGGACACAGTGGGGAAAGGCTGTATCAGAGGAGGAAGGAATGGGAAACTGGGAATGTTTCAGTGCAGGACCAGTATCCCCATATTCCCAGCCCTTTCTAGCAGGAACGTGCAGTTTTCCCCATTCATTGGTTGCAGAGGGTTCAGACAAAACACTTTCCTTCTCTTGGGGGGTCTTCTGGTTCTGCAGAGACAAATTCATTTTGTAGGGCGGTTTTTTACTGGTGGTTTTTATTTCCCCTGAAGCAGTTTGGGTGTTAACCCCACCTCACCTCTGTCCCTTAGGCAACGCGATGGTCTTCAAGCCCTCTCCCTTCACCCCCATCTCGGTGGTGAGGTTGGCAGAGATCTTCACCCAGGCTGGTGTGCCCAAGGGGCTCTTCAACGTGGTGCAGGGTGGGGTGGCCACAGGCCAGTTCCTGTGTCAGCACCCAGATGTGGCCAAAATCTCCTTCACTGGCAGCGTGCCGACTGGCGTCAAGGTAAAGGCACCGTCACACTGGGGGACACACGGGGGCTGTTCCCTTTGGGAACATCTGCAGTCTGAATTAAACAAGTCTAAGGAACCCAGCTTGCCCTTTGTGTGCGCTGGCTGCTTCTGTTGTTGGTGAAGACCCCTGGTGGCTCTCCCCTTGGGTGTCTCTTCCCCCCTCCAGCCTCTGTATTGCCCGTGTGTCACTTGTCTCTTGTGTCCTTGCTTCTGCCAGATCATGGAGATGGCAGCTAAAGGGATCAAACCCGTCACCTTGGAGCTGGGAGGCAAATCCCCCCTTATCATCTTTTCGGACTGCGCCCTGGAGAACGCTGTGAACGGAGCCCTCATGGCCAACTTCCTCACGCAGGGCGAGGTGCGTGGCCGAGGGGCGCAGGTTTGGCTGCAGGTTTTGTGTGATCCCGTCGGCAAACTGCCTTACGTGGGTCATCTCTGGGAGCTGAACGGGCAGCAAATCGTCTCCTGCTGGTGACTCGCTGCGTTTTGGCCACTTGGTGGCATCAGTTCTGCTGTGTCCAGAGCAGGCAAGAACAGCAAGACTGCCTGCCTGCTCTCCGCTGTCCCCAGGGTCGAGCTGGCTGGTTTAGCAGCTTTTTTAGGGGCTTTTCAGAGAACCCCTGCAGCAGGGCCCTTGCAGGAAGGCTTGCAGAGTGCAGCGTGCCTTGTTGTGAGCAGCCTGTTCTGTGTTCCAGGTGTGCTGCAATGGCACGCGGGTGTTTGTGGAGAGGAAGATCCTGGATACCTTCACAAAGGAGGTGGTGAAACGCACCCAGAAGATCAAGATTGGAGACCCGCTTCTGGAAGACACCCGGATGGGAGCCCTCATCAACCGGCCCCACCTGGATCGTGTCCAGAACTTTATCAAGCAGGCGAAGGAGCAGGTGAGGTCGTGCTGCTGCCTTGAGACTGCCCTAAAATAATGTCTTTTTTTTTGTTGTTGTTAGACAAGCAGACCGATAGCTCTCTTTTTAGCTGCTGCGGCTGGGCAGGATGCCCCCGTCCATGCCTGCCCACCTCCTGCTCGGCTCTTTTTCAGGGTGCCCAGGTGCTGTGCGGTGGGGACCTTTATGTACCGGATGACCCGAAGCTGAAGAACGGCTTCTACATGCGCCCCTGTGTGCTAGGTATGTCCTGGAAGTTCATGGTGCTGGCATCTTCCACGTGGCTGTCACTGAATTCCTGGAGAAAGCTGTGCTCGGTGTGACCCATCTCCGTGTGTGCCCCCAGAGGGCACTCGGGTGGGTGCGTTGGATGTAGGCTGAGGTGCCTGAATTAATTGGGAAATCTCTGTGCTTGCAGGGAACTGCACCGATGACATGACGTGTGTGAAGGAAGAGATCTTCGGGCCCGTCATGTCCATCCTGCCCTTTGACACCGAGGAGGAGGTGGTGGAGAGAGCCAACAACACCAAGTTTGGGCTGGCTGGTGGCGTCTTCACCAGGTACAGCTGGGCAGCGCCGTGCTGGGGGGGGTCAGGGGAGGGGAGGAGAAGGGAAAGACTGCGGCAACCTGATGCTCTTCTTGTGGAGTCTGGCACGGGCATGGATATCTTCTGGGAAAGCTGCAGAAATGCCAGAAGGGAACTTTGTAAGCGACTGCGCATCTCCTCGCAGCTCTCCTGAAGGGTTAGGTGGGCCCGGCCGTCCTTCAGACTCCTTCCAGCCCGTGCTTGGCCTGCTGCCTGCCTGCTGCATCTCCAGGAGGTGTTCGCCAGGAGCCTGCCATGCTGCTGAAAGCGTGCAAAGACGGCTTTTGGCTGCTTGCCGTAGCCCGCTCTGCTGCTGTCCTTGTCCTGCCCTCTCAAATCAAGTGCTGTTCTGTGTGTCCGTGGGGATAGGTGCTGGATCCTCGGAGTGGGCAAGGACTGAGAAGGGCAGGACGGGCCCCAAAAAGCACCGCAACCTGCTGGGGGCCTTTCTGTAGCGGGGTGTCAGCTGGCACGGGAGGAGAGGGTGGAAGGGAGGCTCGGGCTGAGTTGTTCTTTCCCCGCAGGGACATCCAGAAGGCTCACAGGGTCGTGGCTGCGCTTAACGCCGGGATGTGCTTCATCAACAACTACAACGTCAGCCCCGTGGAGCTGCCCTTCGGAGGATACAAGGCGTCAGGTGAGCAGCGTTTGGCCGTGCCTGGGCTTGGCTCTGCTGCGCCCAGGGGTGAGTGAGGATGCGCCTGTGTCTGCAGTGGCAGGCCTGGGCGGCCTCTCTGCTGTGTCACGGGGTGGATACCTCACCGGGGGATGAAAGGGAAGCAGGAGGAGAAGGGGTTGTGGGTTTGTACCGAGAAAGGAGGGAGATAAACTTTAGTTTATCTGGCTCGTCCTTGCAGGGTTTGGCAGAGAGAACGGACGGGCAGCCATCGAGTACTACTCGCAGCTGAAGACGGTCTGCGTGGAGATGGGTGATGTGGAGTCCGTGTTCTAGTGGCTCTGGGGCCATCCGGAGGGCGCGCCGGCTCAGAATGGTGAATCATTTACCCAGCAATAAAGTGCTGAGAGATTGTAAGTGCCTGGGGGTGGGGCAGAGCGAGGGCAGCATTTGGCCACCCCGCTGCTGCGAGGGGAAGGGAACATCAGACTGGGAGGGAGCAACCTGGCTTTCAGCAGCTGGCACCTGCAGCTACTTCATGTTAGCAGGGGCTTCCCCCCAGCAGATCTTGAACCCTGCTCTCTCTCACCTTCAATCAAGTTCAGTCTCACCTTACCAAGTGTGACTCTCAGTGCACCTAAAAGCCCTGGGACACGTTGCTGTGCTGTAGCTCTATAGACTCTTTTCTCTGGCTATATAAAAGCCTTAAGAGGAGCCTTTAGTTTTTCCCTCTAGCCCACTTGTGAATCAAAATTCTGTTTTTTAGCTGTGCCTCACCTCCAGGTGGGACACGATACCATAGGGGTGGAGAGCTGATGCTGCCTGTGGCAGGCATGGTGCTGCAGATGCTCTCCTCACACAGCACAGAGGATAACCAGAGTGGTAGCGAGCGCTGACATAGAACAGCTTTTGCCTAAGACAGGCAGGCATCTATTTGATTTCTTTCCTATAGGCCTACTTCTCTTTATAAACATGATGAAATAGCAAATTTAAATGTTTACCTAATCTTTTTTAAGTAATCAAATAAACACTAACTCTGCAACATCTTATTGGCAAGTGACATGAATCAAGGAGTCCAGAAACACGGTCTGATAGGGCTGGGCTGTTGCTGTATGGGTTAAGCAAATGGGCTGCAAGATTGCTTTTCATTCACCAAAGCCATAAAAGCTGGAACATCCCTGCCCGACAGGCAGATTTCTATAGTCCTATAAAAGCAGTTGTTCTGGCTTGCTGCAAAACTCAAGACAGCCCTCTGCAACTACAAAATAAAAATACAGAACTGACAACTTCATTTTATTGAATGAGGAGAAAAACAGCCAACAGGCAATGAAATGCTGTACGAGAAAACAGAACAAGAATCCCTTTGGGTTCCCAGGCAGCCACCGCTGTCAGTTAGTCCTGGCAGGTCCAACCAAGGTGCTGGAAAGCTGAATACACGCCCGTGCCCACCAGTCCAATGAGTGCAGCGGAACCGATGGCCCCTCTCCTTCGATTTTTTGGCTCTGGAACAAGACAGATTTTATCAGTTCAGCAGCAGTACCTGGCTCTCTCATCCAGGCTGCTCCCAGCTCTGCCGCACATGACCTTGACTTGCTGCAAGCGTGTTCAGCTTTGGCTGACCTCGTCCTCACCTTCAGAAAGGAAAGCTGGGGAACTGCTGTGAGCGTGACAGACCCGAACCAATACAAGTGCACAGTCAGGAGCCTGGGATGAGCCCCCCCCAGTGTGGTTTGCTGTGACTAGTGTGGGAAGCAGCAGATGAAACTGAAGAGGGAGCAGGAACTAGAGGTTACTCTAATAATAGCCCAAACTCAGGGTACGCCTTGAGATTGGAGCTCTTGCTATTGTCAGGGAGAGCACAATGCAGCGTGCAGTCTGTGCGCCTGCACCCTCTGCTCCGCACCCTGACAGGAGGGAAGCTTGGTGCTGCCTCCTTGCCAGGAGCTGGAGAGGAGGCTACAGTTTCCACGGCCATACTGTGCCGCAGGATGAGGACCCACCTCCTGTGTAGTAGCCGTAGGCATAGAGGATTCGCCCGATGATCCAGGCAACGCCCAGCCCCGTGGCAATCCGCTAGGAGGAAAGGAGAAACGTGTAAGGTTTTGGAGGTTTGTTGCTGGCACCTGCTCAGCTGTTACAGCTGCCCTGCTGCGAGAAGTGACCACAAACTACAGCGGGGGTCCTGACCCAAATGGGAATCAGCCCAGGAGAAGGGGGTGAGTGGTGTGGGGAGCCAGGGTGAGTTTTGGATCGGGTCCCTTTCGAGGCACCTCTGGGGTGCCTGTGATGTGCTGCAGGGCTTTGCAAGCCCCCTCCACTGGCACAGGCAGGTGTACAGGTTTCCCTGCTGTGGATTTCTGCCCTGCCACTTCATTTAGAGCTTGCTGCAATGTGGCTTCAGTTTGTCAGATCTGCCTATGCCACTTCCTTCCCTCTCTGAAAAGGAATGTTCAAGATGGACCCGATTTGTCTGATGGTGGTAAAGAAGAAGCTCCTGGTTTTAGCCTCTCCCAGACGAACTGCCTCCTCAAGAGCTGTCTACCTCTTTGATTTAAAAATAATCCAGGCTTTTTTTGCATCCTTCACACACCTCCTTTGGTGGTGAAGGTGGGTGGGAAGATCACAGTGTTCCCCATCTATTTTTGTCAGAAAAACTCTTTTTAGTCTGTTTAAAAAGGAAGTGACAGGGTCCCCATCCTGTACAAAACCAGCTGCTGAGTGGCCCTACTGTGAGCCCAGCAGGACCCTGCAGGCTCGGGAGAACCAGGCAGGGTCGGAGGGACCCTCCCCAGCTGTGGGCTGGAGGCTGTGGATGCTGCAGTTTGTCTAACCAGCCACACTCAGGGGAAGGAAAGGGGCCTAGAGGCTGCAGTAGCGGCAATGATTTATGAAATTCTTGAGGTTCCCCTGCACGAGAGCTCAGTACCACTGCATTTTCAGAAGGGGCACGGCCGTGCAGGGGCATGTGGCTGGGGAAGAAGCCTGGCTGCCTCCAGAGGGGCGGGCTTGGCCTCCTGCCTGCTCTGAGTCAGGGATTAAGGGCAGAGTTCAGTCGTGCAGCCCTGCAAGCTAGTCACTTACCGGATGGTAGATGCCCCCAGTGGCTAGGAAGAACAGGAAGGAGGGATAAACTTCCAGTCTGAAAATGAGAGAGGAGGTTACGTTTGTTCAGATTGCTCGTAGAGAGAACATCTAGGCATGCAGAGAGCTGCAAGCATCCCTTGTCAACTGATGGGCCTGGCTGCTGTGAGCCTCCATGCTGAGGAGAGCTGCTCAGTGCTGTGGCCAGAGATGGAGGCACAAGTGAACTTTTTGCGCAGGCTTTCAGGGACTTCATCCCTGCCCGTGCCTCTGTCAGGCAGCCCCCCTCTTCTTTCCACTTTGTGCCCAAGCTGCTGCTAAATGCTGCGCCTACCACCAGCTGCCCCAGGAGCTGCTGCCCCCAGCCTCCCTCGGACGTGCTCTGCCCCGCGTTAGCCAGGTGGACCCTGACCACGAGGAGCCAAGGGCAGTACGACAATCGCACGCGGCACTCACGTGTTCTGGTGCGCACGCTGGATGCAGTTGAATATACGCCCGTGCTCAGGATCTGTGCTGTACATGGTGGGGTACTGTCAAAGAAACACAAGAGCAGAACGTGAGCAACGCAGCCCAAACTCCAGTGGCGAGGTGCAGGCCCTGTGGTGCCTCTCCCCGGGGAGCCCCGTGCTGTGCTGCTGCCTCTAACACTGACTGGCTTCAAGTTAGAGCCTCGCTCCCTGCCCCGCAGCCCACAGCTATGTTGAAACTGCTGCTTGCTCCCGAATGCTTTTGTTCCACTGAGATCCCTTTGCTCCCAACGCTGCGTCTGCCTTCTTCACAGGGAAAAAAGGCCGTGTGGTTTCTTGCCTGTCAGTGTTTCCGGGCTCGAAGCCTTCTGCTTTCAGCCGTCTCAGCTCAGTGCCAAGCGCCTGTTCTGCCAAGCCCTGATTTCTGCTGTGCGTCTGCTCCAGTTTGGAGAGCCGAAATGTCGGCTCCATCCCTTCTGCATCCACACGGCGGGGTAGGGAGTGCCAGCGGGGCATCCAGAAATAAACTAGGTGGCACCGAGCTTATCTGTAGCACTACAGCCCGGAAAGGCAATGCCTGCACACCCTCTGGGCCAGGGAGGGGACGAAGGAGAGGTGCTGCAGCCAGGCTGCGCTGTCCCTGCTGCAGGAGGAGGGGATCCCTCAGACGGGGATCGCTCAGCAGGGCCTAGGGCTCTCCCTCCCCACCAGCGTTGGAGCTGCAGCCATTTCCCAACCCCTCTGCCCGAGGAGAGGAGGACTCACCTCCACGTTGTACTTCTTGCGGGCCTTTGCCACTTTGACGGCGAGGTGCGTGACCAGGACGAAGCTGGCGGCCCCCGTCAGGATGACATAGCCGTACTCTTTGGAGAGAGCTGCCATGGTGGTGCTGGGAGGAAAAGAGAGCCCGTTACTACTGCAGGGGGCACCGGAGCAGTGGCAGCTCAGTGCAGGCAGAAACACAGGTGTGTGTGCGTAAGAACTGCTGAGCATGGATCAGAGTCCTCCTTGCACAAGGACTGGCTGAAGGAGAGGAGAAACTCTCAGGGATTTTTTACCTTGTGGTGCCTGCTGGGAGTTAAGCAGAACAACCACTTGCAATTCCTACACTTGCAGGAATTTCTCCACAGCCAGGCTGGAGACCAGGTCAGCCAAATTATGCCACTGTGCCAAGCCCTGCTTCACCTCCAGCCTGAGCAGCACAGCCAGTTCTTGTCCCAACACCTTAAAAAGCTTTCAGCAAAACCAGGAAGGGGCCAGAGTGGCGCTGCAAGGATGTTTAAAGATCTGCAACAGCTTTCATGTGAGGAACAGCCGAGTAAGTCCAGACTCATCTCAGAGAGCAGACAAACAGGACTGGTATTCAATGAAGTCTGTAAAAGCTAAAGAGGGTGGGCAGAAACCGGTTGTTTGCTTCCAACGCCAGAACTCAGGGCCACCAAATGCAGCTAGGACAGGGATTCAAAACAAACAGAGGTGTTTTTTCACGCGATAAAATGGCCAGACGAGCGACGCTCGCTCCCAGCAGCTTCAAGGAACGGGCTCAGAGTCACAGAGAGTGGCCCAACCACCATCTGGCAGCGGTCCCCTTGCACCATCCCCACCTCTGATTGCGCCCACGTGAACGGAGCCTGTGCTGTGTCATGCACAGCACCAGAAGGCAGCGGGCACTTCTCTCCCCAGCACTAAGCCGATTCCCTCTCCAAACCAAGCCTAACCGCAGCCCGTTGCCGTGATGCAGCAAGGTTCTGGTGTCTCTGGCGCTGTCCCACCAGCACGATCTGTTGGCACGGGGGACAAACGTCCCTCCTGGAGGAAGCAGCGCAGCCAGCCCTCCTTCTGCACCAGCACTGCTCAGCAGGGAGCAGGCAGTTTATTTCCCATTTGCACAGGGATTTTGATCAAGACAACAGCTGGCTTTGTCCACGTGAAGTTTGCTCAAAAATTCTTAGTAAGCATGCTGAAAGCTCTAACTAAGACAGATCAGCTGCACCCACGTGCGACAGTTAGAGGCAGTTAGAGGTCACGCTGAGCATACAGACCCTTCCCGCCGCACAGCGCAGATCCACGGTCGCATTTCCCCCTTTGGCTCCCAGGCTTGAGGAAGCCCCACGCGGCAGCAAGGACCGGGCCTTTAGCCGTGCAACGTCCTTTGGAGTTTTACCTTTTATCTCAGTAGCAAAGGGCGCAGCACAGCATTAAGCCAGGGGTTATAAACCTGCTGCTGGACCTCTGCTACCACTGCGGAACTACGCGGTGCCTTTGCTCTAGTGCCCAGGAGCCAAAGCGATTCCAAGCTGATTCCAAGCCGACACCTGCGGCTGCTCCCTGCTGCTGCCGCCTTTCACCAACCTTGTCTGCAGCGCAAGGACTCTGCCCACGAGCACCGGCGCCCTGCACAAGCCTAATTTTGCATCTTCCCTGCGGCAACGCTTGGGCCTGGGCCCGCGGGGGATGATGCAGCACGGCCGAAGGGCTACGGGAGAGCTCGCAGGGAGCGCTTTCCCCCCGCAGCAACGATTCGCAGCAGGCTCGCCGCAACCACACCGCAATAAGGACTCAGCAGGGCCGCCCCGCCTCCCCTGCAGCCCCACACCGGGCTCTCGACCCTCCCCGCAGCCCCCGGCCCCCTGCCCGCACTCACCCGCACCCCGGGGCCCGGCTCAGGCGCGGTGCGAAGCAGCCCGGGGCGGGAGCGGGGCCGGGACCGGGCTTGGCCACGCCCCGAGGCGGGGCGAGGGCTGCGGGCTCCGTGCTGCCCCCCAGGGGGCTGCGGCTTCTCCCCAGGCCGGGGGGGATTGATTTTGCAGGCTGCTTTTGGGGTGCTTCACGCGGTGGTCGTGCCCTGTTCCCTCGCAGGCCGGTGCCGGGTGGGGAAGGCAGCCCCCGCTGTACCCCAGTGCCAGCGATCTGCAGGATCTCGCTTACACCCCGCAATGTTCTGGCCCAGGATGCACGAGCCCCTGTCAGCACTGGGGCTGTGTGTAAGCGGTGTTTCACCTTAAAAAGCAACGCAGTTGTAGGGAAACGTGGTACAGAATGAATTAGGAGGTGGCCTTTTTTTGTTTCTGAATGTGTCCATAAACCGGGAACCAGCACAGCGGGACAGAGTGCGCCTTTTGCTGTTTCGGGGATAATGGTGAAGCCAGCAGGCCACAGGCCCCTAAAAGTCCTGGGTTTAAGCTCTTTGCTCACACGCCTGCCTTCCCACAGCAGGGAGCTCTCTGGGCTGGTCCCAGTCTGGCCTTGGTGAGCTCCCTGGCTACAGCACAGCTCCGGGGCCTCTCCTGCATCTCCGAACTCCTCATGCCTGTCCCCGTGACAGGGCAGGCCGCACGCTGACCCTGCTGTCCTGCAGCCTCGCGGTGAAACAGGAGCATAAATGCTGCTCTGGGGTGCACGGCTCTGTCCGCACACCCTCACCGAATGCTCTGCCAAGGTCCCGGGTCCCGTCGGAAGAAGGAAGGCGGAGGCAGCACAGCGAGTGAAACTGGAGCACAGAGATTTTCATCTCTGGCAGTTTTATTTCGCTTCAAAAAAAAAATAAATAGCATCTAAAGTAGGGCATAATGCGGGAAATCATCCAGGAAGGGCCTGCCTTCAGTTCCCAGGACGGCGTTTGGAACGCTTTGTAGGGCTGGTCCTAAGTGACCGCGTCTTCCTCCTCCTCATCCTCCTCCCCCTTGGAAGTGTGCACTTGGTAGATGACGGCACAGACGCCGGCCAGCCAGGCCACCACGGTGCCAGCAAAGAATATGCAGAAGCCAACGAAACACAGGAAGATGTAGTCCTGCTTGTGCAGCTGGGTCAGGCAGCTGGAGCGCAGCTGTACCTTGGCTGCAGGCAGCTTCCAGGCACGGAAGGCTTTGGGAGTGTAGCAGGTGATGTTGTCAGCATCTGCAGAGAGAAGAGCAACGGCACGGTTCTTTTGCCTGTTTCTAAGGCATTAGTGAGTAGGAGTGCTGCTAGAAAAAGGACGGAGCAGTTTGCTAAATTGGAAAATTTCGCCACGCTTCACAGCCTCCTCCCTCCACAGCCCAGGAAAAATCAGAGTTGCACCTCTGCCAAACCACAGCTGCCGGAATGATTTCTGTGGTGGTGTCTCCATGGGAAAATATCGATGGTCGGATTATGGGATCGTGACAAACTGCTATAGCTCACTTTTATTTCAATAGAAGAGCACTTGTAGGTTGCTTCTTTTTTTTAAAAAAAAATCTTAGCTTCTGAAGTGACAGAGCTAAATTGAAAGAGGCCCTTGGAGACTAGAATAACGAGGCTTGCATGCAGGGAGTCAAGTTTGAAAATTAGAGTGGTTTGCAATTAGGCATAGTCTCACCTGCTTTGTGAGAGAGAAAGAGGAAACTCATTACTGATTCAGTTGCACTGAAGTAATGACTATGTCCTGTCGTATTCTAATACAACAGATGCTGGCTTTTCCCTCTGAAGTCAGCAAAGGCTGTTTGTGGTGGAAAGCACTGTCTCCTTTTTGTTTCTGTAGAAGCACAGCATCCCTCTCCTCTGCCTGCAGTTTAACACCCTGCCAGCCACCGTTACGGCGCCAGGCATTTCGTGTATGGAAATGGGTCAGCAGGGAGCAGTGTGCTCACAGCCCCACTGAGGTCAGCAGCAAAACTCCTGCTGGCTTCCACAGCAGCACCCTGACTCTTCCTGCAGACCCTGGCCAGAAGAGGGGCTGACTGGGTTTCAACCCAGCTTTTCAGAATCGAGCAGAACTGCTGTAGCAGGACTGCAAAGAACAACGGCCTCCCAGGGGTGCTGCGCAGAAACAAGGGCAGTATTCAAGGTGAATGAGACACTGGAGGAATCGGAGAGCCTAGGACTGCAGGGGCTGCACCAAGGAGGTGAGAATAGAAGCAGGAACAGGCTGCAAACATTGCCACAGTGTGGAGGGGGGTTAGCTGCCTCACCTGGGAAATGCACGTTGCTGTCTGCCATCCAGGTGATGAAGTCCAAAAAGGAACAGTTGCAGTGCCACGGGTTGTCACTGAGCCCCAGAAACCTCAGGTTGGGCAGGTCCCGGACGGTGCTGGTGTCCAGGAACGTTAAGCCAGTCCGGCTGACATCCAGGTGCCTCAGCCAGGTGTTGTTGGCAAAAGCATCCTTCTCGATCGCTACGAGGTTGGGGTTGTCCGAGATCTTCAGCACCACCAGGCTGAGGAGCTGCGAGAAGGTGCCGAAGGTGACCTGCGTCAGGTTGTTGAAGCTGAGGTCCAGGTAGACAAGCTTGGCCACGCCGATAAAAGTGAAATCCAGGTCGTCCCCTAAGAGGTTCTTCTGGCAGTCCAGGTAGACCAGATCAGCCAGGAAGCTCAACTCCACCGCCGGCAGGTAGGAGACGTTGTTGGCTGCCAGAATCAGCTGCCTGGTGTCCAGCGGGATGGCTGCGGGGAACTCCTGCAACTGTCGCCCCGTGCAGTTCACCTCCAGGTACCCACAGCTGCACCCGCTGGGGCAGTGCGCGCTCCCCGCTGCCAGCCCCGTCCCCAGGAGCAGCAGGAGGAGGAGGAGGAGGCTGAGGGGCCGCCGTCCACCTGAGGGAGACATGGCCTCCCGCCTCACGCACCGCTCAGCCCTAAGCGGGCAGCGTTACCATCGCCGCGGAGCCGTCCCTGGGGAAGCGCTGGGACTCACCTGACTCCTTGGCACGGCGCCTGGCTGGAAGCTGAGCTCCCGGCGGGTTTTCACCTCAGAGCGCTGCGGGGTCTCTGCAGCCACCTGTGGGGAGGGAGGAGGGGGGGGGGGGCGCCATTTTACCTCAGAGCAGCTTCTCCCCCTCAGCCGCGTCCCCAAGGGAAGGGGGCCCGCCGCCCGCCGCCCTCCTCGCACCTTCCTCGTCTCCTCGCACCTTCGCCTCCTCCTCGCACCTTCCGAGCCTCCTCGCAGCTCCCGGGGCCGCTGCCCGCCCGCAGGGGGCGCCTCAGCCCCGCTCCTCCCCCGGCCGCCGCCTCCCTCCCGCCTCCCCCCGGCCCCTCAGCGCCTCACGCCGGGCGGTTGGCCGTTAGGGGCGGGGCTCCCTTCACTCCCGCCTCCTTCACCGCCCATCCCGGCCGCTGATAGGTCCGGCTCGAGCCGTCCATCACTCCGCCGGCCAATGGGCGGCGGCGGGAGGCATTTTGAAGCGGTGAGGCGGCAAGATGGAGGCGCTCACCTTTCCCCCGCTACAGCCCCGACGACATCGTCACCTACCTGCGCGGCCACCTCCTGGCCGGCGCCGAGGCCCGCGGCCTCACCAAGGCCGACCTCTTCGCCAACCCCAAGGTGCTGGGTTAATGGCCGCCGGGGACTGCGTTCGCCTAACGGGGCGTTAGGGCTCGAGCCGCCGCCGAGGGGGGTGTGTGGGGGTCGGTTTCGGGGGTTAATTACCTCAGGAATTAGCGGGGGGGGTGCTGACCCGCCTCCTCTCCCCTCGCAGCCCGAGGTCCTGCACATGATCTTCATGAGGATCCTGCAGAAGGTGTATGGGATCCGCCTGGAGCACTTCTACATGGTATGTAGCTAGTTGCGGGTTTAACAGAACATAAACAGAGAAAAACCCTGCACTTTCCACACTATGTGTTCAATTATCTCCCTTTTATCTTATCTGGCAAGTAACATTCTGTGTTTCTGTCTAATCAAATGAGCAGGAGCTTAGAAATCCCTCCTGTCTTGCAGAATACTATAGGGCATCTTGTGTGTGTGAGGATTTGTGCTCAATATGTTCAGTGAGGCAGCTTACAATGTTTGCTGGGGCAGGAACAAACGTGTGCCTCTGCATTAGCCATCAGCATCGCTGCCACAGGTTTCTTGCAGCCTGGAAGCACCTGCCCAGGAAAAGGCTCTTCACTGAGGCAGTGGCCGGGAATGCTCCCCGGAGGAGTAGTCACCACACCTGGCCTGCTGGAGTTCAGGAAACCTTCAGGCCACGCTCAAAATATGGTTTAATTTTGGAGTGGTTCTGTGTGGAGCCAGGAGTTGGGCTGAGTGATCCTCACCAGTCGCAGCTGTGGGTATTCTGTGGTCTGTGAGGTGCTGCTGAGGCCCTGCTGATTTTTGTTTTTATGGAGAGGAGAAGGCCTTCTTCCCAAAGGAACTAGAGGACGTGAAGAGCTCACCAACGTAGGTTATAAGAAAATTCTCTGTGGTTGAGCTGTGGATTTCAGCTGTGGATTCTTCTCTGATATGCTGCAGGTGCCAGAAATGTCTGGAAGGCCTCAGAGGGGCTGTGCAAGCCCTGTGAAGGGCTGTTAAATCTCAAGGTGTTATCTCTGGCCTTGAGATGATGTTCTGTCTTCTTGGGCATCTGGCTTTGGCCATTGCTGAAAGAGGGTCTCTTACAAAGACCTGTCTAGAAGGAAAGTAAAATGTGCCTTTTGTGTTTAATCATTTCCACCTCTGAAATTGAGAAGAAGGCAAGGAGAAGTGCAGTAAGTGGGCTGGGCTAACTGATACCTTGTTGATTAACATCTAACTTACCTTGTTTCTGCCAGACAGGAATGGATTCCTGACAGCAAGAGTAAATGGTATTGTCTTGTGCTGGTTTTGGATAAGCTGAAAGGGAAAATCATATGGGCCCGTGACAACTTAGTCCTTCAGACAATAACATCAGCTGCGATATTGTATTAATGTGACTTAAATCATCAGAAAAGGCAACAGTGCACTGCTGTCTTCTTCTAAAGTCTTAATTTTAAAAGAGTTTAATGTTTGATTTTCAGATCTTTAAAGAGAGACAGTTCTGCTGTTTGTTAGGTGTGTAATGCAGAGACTGTTCTGATTCTATTTTAAACAAATCAAAATGGTGGATTTAAATTGAATTCCAGCATTTGTGGTGGTGTTGCTTTAGGTATTGTTGTCTTTTTCATATTTGACCAGCCAAAATTGACACTGAAAATAATCTGCTAACTAGATAATATCCTTCTGATTCTAACTTGTGTTCCCCAAGGATGGGGAAACAAGTATCTGTCTGTCTAACCTATTTGAATGATTTTATGTTGTGGAAGTCATCTTCTGTGGTTTCTTGTAAGTATTCTCTACTGACGTGTTGACTCTTTATTCTTCAGATGCCTGTCAACGTTGAAATAATGTATCCGCAGATATTTGAAGGCTTTCTACCTGTTTGTAATTTGTATATTCACATGTAAGTACAAGATAGCATCTGTTCATTTGTTCCTCCTTATAAAGGTTCCATTTACTAGAAACTATTGTGGGTAGTGGCTCTGCCACTTGTTGGCTCTGAGTGAAGTGAAGTCTGCAGATAAACGAGAGACAGCAATGCTGTAATGCAGGCTAATTCTCAGCAGGCAGTGATCTTGTTGAAAATAATGTATTAGCTTAACTATATCTAGCCTCCTGTGAAGAGGCTTATTTTAGTCTTATTTAAAAACAAAGAATAAAAACCCTAGCCATGCCCCCCAAACAAGGTGTGTTATTATTCTGTTCTTTTACTGGCTAGAGGTTCATTGTTACACCTGGCAGAGGGATCTTGAGTACCTGTTGCATGAATTTGCTGTCCAAATTCTGTTTCAATTTCTTTGTTGAAATGTGTGCTAGTTTTCCCCTTAAAACAGAGATGAAGCTTCAAATCTGACTCCCTTAATTAAGTGAAGGAGTTCCTTAATTAAGGTAGAAAGTTGATCTACAGGCAAGTATTTTGTCTATAGAATTCCTTATGAGATACTGTAAGAATACCAATTTTTAACACTGATGTCTAGTCCTACTACTTATTCTCCTGAGACATATTGTGTCATGTGTCTGTACATGTGCTCTGGAGTGAGAGGACAATAACTGTCTTCAGTAAATGTATATAGCACAAAAAGCGAGTGCTGCTGACTGAAAATAAGGCTGTATTCTGTTTCCTTACAGGGAGCGCTTCCTTCCAGTGTGCCGGGTTAATGACTTTCAGATTGCTGATGTTATAAATCCAAGTAAGCGAGTGAATTGTCAGCCTGTGTGTCCTAGGGTGGATATCTTGATATTGAGGTGCTTTTTCTCATTTGGCATAGATGGGTGTCTCCTCCTCTGCTCCTGAAGGTGGTCTTTAGACGATGGTTCTAGTGAGTGGTTTTCTACCTTAGTCCCTATGTAGGCTTGTCCAGTTAAATAACTGAGGAGAGTCTTGTGTACTGGTCTTGTCTTTTGATCTGGAGAGCAAAGTGTGACAAGCTTTTAATAATGTAGGAATAGGTGGTAATGAAACTCACATGGCATTCCAGAGTTGCTAGGAAGAATATCTTATGCCAGTGCCTAGAACTAATTAAATTTTTGCTTTGTTTTTTCCAATACCTAACTTTGGTGATTCTGATGCAAAAAAACTTAGAGTTCTTTAGAATTGCCTCTTCTATCACTTCTGTGTCTGGCTTGTATAAGACACTTGAGAACGTTGTAATCATCTTTCACGCAGTTCACTGGGAATAGAGCCAAAATGTCCCTGCAGTTCTAACAGCTAGCTTCAGTTAGCCAGAGAGTTACAGTGAGGTTCAGTCTTCAGGGCTGTAGTCAAATATTGACGCTCGCTTAATTGTGGAGCTGTGTGTTACTAGTCTTTCTACTAGGTGCCATTTTTATTTGTTAAGTAACATAGAATTGCTGAGACCTTGTAAGTTTGTAGCTTGGTGCTGCTTTTTGTGTGGTCTATGAAACCTTTGCAAGGTAAGCAGGGAAATAGCGAACTTGCATGTTTTGGTAATTTCTGTCTCTTCTCTGAACTCTGTTTTGCCCAACTTCTAGGCAATTGCAATGAAGGTGGAAACCAAAATAGTGATGTCTTGTCGTTTCCATTTCAGAGGCAAAGAGGACAGCTCGCTTCTTGAGTGGCATTCTCAACTTCGTGCATTTCAGAGAATCCCGACGTGAGACCTACTTGGAGCTGCAGATGAACTATGTAAGATTAGGTGCATGTTACTCCAGATACTTGCTTAAGTATATTTAATGCTAACCTACAATTGGGAGCATAGAGGTAGGGGATTTTAGGAGTGTGTGTAAAATAACACGAGAATCTTAAATATAGCTGAGTAATATAGGAATGTACCTATTTAATATTAAATAAAACTTCTTGTGCAGCTACATTAGACATTATAAGCGTACACAACTACTGTAAATGGCTTAAGAAAAAAACATTGCTGTGCTCTTAAGGAAACATTTCAGTTTAGAATAGTGAGTTGATGGACTAGTTGATAACATTGTAAAAGTTTCTGTATGGTACTATGGCTGAGTTACCACTTAAGCTATCATCTGAGGTTTTTCCAGTAACTTATTTGATTGTTCAGTTCAGCCTTGTAAGTGAAGGTTTGACAAATCACTTTGAGAAAATATAGATGTAGCTCTTGTTGAGCTGAAGCTAGGGCTGCAGGCAGTTTCTTTTCTGAATATCTCAGTAGTTCAGGGATTGTGAATGTTATGTGAAATAATGATGAGCAGAGTTCTAACAGAACTCGAGAAAAACTATACTCCTCTAAAATAAAAGTCTTCATGAATGCTTAACTTGCAGAAATTAGCTATGGAGAAACACCAGCAACTGGAGACTGCAAATCAGGAGGCAGCTGTGAAGCTGGAGAAACTGAAGTAAGTGTGAGGAGCAAGTGTTGTGAGATGCAGTATTTCTTGGCTTGCTCAGTGTGTGTGCACAATGGGACGCCTAAACAGGAGCTGGATATTTGAGTTCAGTGATCTGATGGAATTGGCTGATAACTGACTTCTTTGAACTTGATCGCAGCATTGTGCAGTTCAACTAGTGCCCAGAATCCCTTTCCATCTGTTGGAAAGCTCTTTTTAGACTGTGAGAGACATGATTGCATTCAGTAACCTGTTTTTTGGTGTGTGTATGAGACTAGATTGCTACAGATAGTGGGATCTAAGTGCCACAGATCTAAGATGCTGTGAGTTGAGATACTAATTAACCTTTGATAATGGGAGTGAAATTCATAGCTTGCTGTCATCGTTTTTCTTTCAATTGACAACCATCTCCTCCAGCAAGTGCTGTCACCAGGTGCATCCACATGCCTGTGGTGGTTTCACCCTGCTGGGCAGCTGAACTCTGTTATAGCTGCTCTCTTACCCACCCCTCCTCAAAGGAAGAGGGGGAGAAAATATAATGGAAAAGGGC